ATAGGAAGTCATCCTTACCCCAGCGTAGAAGTAGCTTTTGGGTTTTGTTGTGGGGCTTTTGTTGTTTTTTGCTGTTTTTTGGACTAAAGGAGTCAGCAGTTTTAGGAAAATCTCTTTTTAACCACTGATGGTTGACTTGTATATTACCAGGAATTTTTTTCTAAAACTCAGCCAGTTTTAGAGCAGAAAGACTGAGATAATAAGGATGAATGCAGGGGATCAGAAGTTAAGATGCAAGGAAAAGTGAGAGATCAGAAACAGTATCTACTGCTAAGAGTGGTGAAAGTTGGGTGATGGATGAGTGTATACAATATAAGCTGAGGAGAGTGGATTTTCAAACTGGCAAGGCTCTCTGCTTCTTTCTTTATTTCTGCTTAGTAACTTTTTTGCAAGCCACCAGTAGTGCTGTTTTCTGAATAGGTTATGTATTTGCCCAAAAGGAACGTTTCTTTGAAGCCATTCAGCTAATTGCAAGGAACTTTGAACTAAAAATGTGCTTGCATGGTCAGGGTGTAGGAAATGTGTAACTTAAAAGTTGTTTTCTTTTTTTTTATTGCTTTTGTTATTCTTTCTACCATACATACTGTGCAGCAACGTTTAACCTCCTTCATCTACTGTCTGTATGTGGAAGCCAGAATTGAGCTGCTTGGAATGTCTTAGTTCCAATACTTTTTTTTTTTTCCCCTTTCTTTCCTACTCCTCTAAGGTGGACATTAATGATGATTAATTGTGTTCCAGTAGTACACTAGGAAACCATGGTGTTGAGTATTATATAAACATAATGACAAAAGATTCCCCTGTGTCCTGTTTACCCCTGGAAAAAACGAGGCACAGGAAGACTGTGACTTGCTGAAGGCTGTGCAAAATGAGTCTTTTTGCAAGAGTTCAAAACTGCATTCATTTTTCCTGAGTACCTATAAAATTCTTGTGCTTGAACCACGTTCTTCCCCACTTCAGCTACCTATAATAAAGCTACACACAAATTAATTGCTGTTAATGGTAGAGTATACTGGTAACACATAGTGTTCTGTTTGCACTGTGGCATCTCTTCCCCCTCCCCCCCCCCCATCTATCTGCAAGGAGATCCAAATTCTTACTGTCTGGTGCTAAAACTTAATGTGCTTTGCAGCATGGTGACGTAAAGGTTTAAACTAATGCAAAGAAATATAATTATTTACTCCTACGCACTTTTACTTCTGTTTTTCAGGGTGTGTTCTTGTCCTTCTGACGAGCAATATATGTCCTACTTAATATGAAACTACATGGAAAGCAAATAAGAGAAGCAAGCCTGTGATTCAATTGAATTTAAACAGTAAAACAGGCAGCTTTCTGAATGAAAATGCTGAGTTGAACTCTGCATTTCTGCATTTCTTTACCTAGTATAAAATGCATTAGTTGTTGTTTTCAGAGGAATTCATTTTCCATTTCAGCCAGGAGAATAGAAGGTACTACAGGAGCAACCCATAGCAAACCAGTTTAAAAATAATTTCACAAAGGAGGAGTGTATGCCTGTATTATTTGATGGAGAGGTGTGAAGGGTCATATTCTTCTAGTGATGCACTGAGATCTGTGGGTAACTCCTGTTCCAGACAAAGAGAGTTACTCATGGGAGGGCTTTGTAACTTTTGTTGAGTACTCTGGCCCCTATCCAGCAAAGCAAAGCACTTTTAAGTCCTTGCTTAATATTTGTGATCCCAGTGACTTGAAACTAGTGGAATTTTGATTACTGAGAGCTGGAATCTTCAGCACATCTCAGAATTATGCCCTGTATTCTCAGCATGATAAGGGTACATGTATGGTTTGGGGTTTTGTTTGTTTGTTTGTCTTTCTGATGGTATCGGACATAGGTACATTCTTCTCTCACCAGTGCCTGCTTTTTGAAGTCTAAATACAAATCTTGAATAATACTGATTACTTTTTTTTTTAATAATTTCTTTCACGGATAATAACCTCAGTTGAAAGATTTAAAATTATGATTGAAATCAAAGCTTTCAATCTCTACTTCCTTCATTTAACTTAAGTTGGTATTAATCAAAGAGATGTTTTTCCTTTCAAGGTTTAATGGAACTAGTGCATGTAAGAATTTCCAGACAGTTCACTTGTAAGATCATTACATCTTTATTCATGTAAGCAAACAAATACTGTGCTGTCTGTTTACTATTATTAGCTAAGAAAATTTTGAAGTATCTTTATTGTCTTCTGCAGTTTAAAATCCTGTACTATTTATGCTCAAAATGAACTCCCAGTCATAAGTATGGGGTAAGTCATAAAATATACCAGCTTTTGTGTGGTGTTAGGTAGTTCAGGGAACGTGAGTTTGCCGTAAGGACGTCTTTGACAATTTTCATTTGTTGCCTCTCTTTTTGTTAGCAATGAATAGAAAAATATTTCTTTGTGGCTTTTTTTATTTATTTCTAATTTCATGCAAACTTAAATGGAGGAAAACTTGAGGCAGGAAAGGGAACAGTAAGAAAAAAACGCTAAAAATTCTTAAATCGACTTTGTCTCAATCACTAGATGTCAAGCTGATGTTCTTTCCCAGTAAAAATACATTACCACCTTCCAAATGTCCCTACACAGGACAGGACTGTCCTCAAGACTCACCTTCGATTACGACTAATGTCACAATAACCAAGGAAACCACACTTTTAAAGGTGGCATCAATGCTACTTAAGACGACAGTGCCAGATTTCAGTTTGTGTGCGTATCTCTTTTGGAAAGTAAGTAGTGAGCCACTCTGGCTGAATGAAAAGATTTAAGAGGTTATATGATCCAAATGGCTCTTACACAATTTGGAAATCTGCTATTTTTAGTTGCTAGAGTTTAATATTAATCTGCGTTAGGAAGTACACAAACAGAAACCACTAAGCTGGCATAAGTAGCTGAGAGTATAGAAATATACAAGAAAATATCTTTCAGTGGTTAGAATACTCAAATCCAGCAAAACAGTTAGTTGATCCTCTCCTCAAAAGGAAATAATTCAAGAAGACAAGGTTGATTTATGAGGCGAAGTTGTCTTGTGTAGTAGTCTTTGTAGCACCGGATATTGAAGAAACTTTATCTTGGACATGGTCTTAGCCAGAAATTAAGATGAGATCTCACACTTGAGGTATGAAAATAAACTCATAAGCATCGGAAGTCAACAGGACCAAACAGGGAATATTCTGAATTTGAAAAGAGGTTAAGACTACATGACTCCAGTAATTAAAAGAAGACTGTTGCTTTAAAAAAATTTAAATCCCTACTACTGAGCCTTGCAAAACTTTAGAAATTTCGAGGGATGGTTTTGCATTGTTTAAAACAGTCAAACAAAAAAAATTTACATCGTACTGTAGAATTCAAACCACACAATTTTTTGCAAAGATAATTGATCTGACAGAATTCTCTGTGTCATTAAAGCAGTGGTTGAAGAAAACCTGGGTAATACTATTTAGAATTTTCCCAAAAGCTTTGAGTAAAGTTAAGCGTTCACAAAATGAGAGACAAAATATTGTCTTGGATTAAAAACTGATTGAGATGGGAAACAATATTAGGATTAAATGATCAGTTAGCATTTTGGTTAAAAGCTAATCTAGGTGCAGAAGGCATTTCAGCATACTAGGACCTAGGCTGTCAGCATATTCATGAGTTGTACTTAGGTATTAGTTATATGTCTGGCTATATGTAAAATGAACCATTGGGTTCAAACATAGTTTGTAATGTCCGAATCATGGTAGATAAATAACCATAGCAGGCAAACTAACATTGATTAATGCAAAGTAGCGTGCATTCAAGAAGAAAACTTGAATTACTTACACATCTGGGTTTCAAATTAGATACATCTGCTCAGGAAAAAAACTTAGCAAATAGTTTTCAAAGGCCCAGTGAAGATTTCTGTTCCTTTCATAACTAAGGTGTAAATGGTGTTGAACAGAGGAGTAAAAAGAAAAATAGTATGGCGGTTATTATAATCCCCTTGTGTAGATCAATGATACAGTCTTCTAAGGATTACTATATGCTATGTGGATCCCACATACACCTGTAAAGTATGGTACAAAATGAAAGGATTGAGAGTACAATATGAATGATCAAAAGCCTAAAAACAAAATCTCCCATGAAGTCAAATAGAGGGAAAATGTGATTGCTTATGCCAGAGAGAACAGGAATGAAGACATAACATGAGTACAATCTATTATGTACGTGAAGCAACAAATTGTAAATAAAAACTGTAAAAAGTAGAGCAAATAGAAGTTTTCCATCTGACTAGTTCTTAAAGAAACAAAGGGATATTGAATGAAATCAAGGTCTGAAATTCAGGACTGAGAAAAGATAGCTCGTTTAGTGTGCATCTCATTGAAACACAGGGTATTAAGACGAAAAGATTTGGAGATATTAGAATTTGTATTATTTATAATTCTTCCATCAAGTGAGATATGTTTGTTGCTGTCCTTATTGTTCTTGAGAAAATAATACTGGTGCTGGAGGGCTGGCAGGAGGGAGGTGTTGTAACTTCGAGAGCTTTTTGTAATTTAGAGAGCTAGGGAAGTTTCGTTAGCCATTTTTATTGCTAACTTTTTGGGTTTTGTTCTCTGTAGGAGGGTTTTAAACCTGCTCAAGGTCACATATTTTTCTAGTTCTGGTAACATGATCTATTTTCATCTAAGTTTCTTGTCAAAGGACTGCATCAATCTTTCTTACGTTGCTTAACACTGCTCTGTGTGGGGACTTCTATGTAGCTGAGAAGTTAGTGACATCTCATGGTAACCATGGAAAATTACAGGTGATTTGTGGTAAGGTTTTGGTGTTTGTAATTCAACAGACATTGCAAATGTTTTCTAGTTCAAAATTTTTTTTTAATATGCTTGTACATACCTCTTACATTTAATTCTCCAGTGTTCGTTATTTATCTAGAGACTAACTCAAGTATTTCTAAGCCTGAAATACTGATATTTGTCAGTTAGTTTGTCACTTACAAAAGAATTATATAACAGTATTGTCTCTCCTGGTTTTACTTGTTTTAGGTACAAAGTCAGCTACGGAGTATGCTAATGGTGGTTATGATATTGTATCGCCTGCTCCATCAGTATACTTGGGCACATTTCAAATTTTGCATCTCCTGGAAGATCTAAAGATGGCATTGGAAATGCTAGAGGATCCTCAAGAGAAAGAAGCGTTGCGAAATCAAATTCCGGGGGCCACAGCAGTGTGTATACGGGAGTGGTTTGAAGAGAATCTGGTGAGTAATTATTTATAGTTTTTCCATTTTGTTTGCAAACAGCATTGGTTCAAGTATTTTGATACTTCAGTTATTTTTGTAATAACTGAAATCTGCATACTTAGAGAACTGCAGGGGATGGTAAGCAATCATAGAAAGCTGAGGACATTACCACTTCATGTGCTGATTACTAGAGCAATGCAGATATAGGAGTATAAGAAGTTGGTAAAAGACCTTATTTTGTCCTTGGTGAGACAAAAGATAGTAAAAATGAACTATCAAAAAAGTTACCTTTTCTGTGGGTTTGGTTGGTTTGGTTTTGTTGGTCTTTTGCTGGAGATAACAAACAAGTTTATAACTAGTTCTAAAACTTTTCATTTTTAAACTGCCAATTTGGAATATGGTGGCATTGTCTGTTGAAGGGACAAATACAAATTGGATGATTCTCCTATCCTTTTCCTTGCTACATTTCCTTTACCTTAACTATCGATATTATCAATCTCCAAAGTATCTTGTACACCTGGCAGTGGCGGTAAATGCAGGAGAGCTCTAGCTTCTGAATGCGAGACATTCATCTCGGGATAGATGGGGAATAAACATTTGACTATATTGGGAAAGACTGAGGTTTACGAGGTGAGGAGCAGATCTTCAGACAGACCTTAGAAGAGACCCATTGGATGTAAAGGAAGAGAAACAGCAGGTCCTGCCAGAACACTCCTCTTCACCAAGTCTGTCACTGCAAGTGAATGGTGGTTTCCTAATGAGTAAAAGCTACCTATCACTTTCTCAACTTCAGAAAAGTTTTCTAGATGAATGGATTTTCTTCTGGCTTTGTCAATGTGTGTTACTTTTATGTAAATGTGTCTGTAGCTTCTGGTTCAGTGTTTATCATCTGCTATAGCTGCCTTGTGCCTATTGTAACCTAATGTTCTTGGAAAGGTAGCTGCTTTTGTTTGAACTTGTCAACTGCTGGTTTGTTGGCATTCTCCACAGAGCACAGGTCTATGGCTGGCTGTTTGGGACCATATGAGAGACAGGAATGAGAATTTGGTACCAGTTTTGAAAGCAAAAGGTGGAGGAAATGTTTAATTTGGATTTACAGTATTACATTTTTGAGTCCATATCCTCAGGCTAGCTCTTCCTGAATTCCTGCCTTAGCAGAAATTTTAATGCTTTTTCAAAGCTTTGCAATAGCTAAAAGATATTTGCAATGCTACAGGCTTGGGGAAGAGTGGCTGGAAAGCTGCCCAGCAGAAAAGGACCTGGGGGTGCTGGTTGACAGCCGGCTGAACATGGGCCGGCAGTGTGCCCAGGTGGCCAAGAAGGCCAATGGCATCCTGGCCTGTATCAGAAACAGTGTGGCCAGCAGGAGTAGGGAAGTGTTCGTGCCCCTGTACTCGGCACTGGTGAGGCCGCCCCTCGAATACTGTGTTCAGTTTTGGGCCCCTCACTACAAGAAGGACATGGAGGTGCTGGAGTGTGTCCAGAGAAGGGCAGCGAAGCTGGTGAAGGGTCTGGAGAACAAGTCTTATGAGGAGCGGCTGAGGGAACTGGGGTCGTTTAGCCTGGAGAAAAGGAGGCTGAGGGGAGACCTCATCGCTCTCTACAGCTGCCTGAAAGGAGGTTGTAGCGAGGTGGGTGTCGGTCTCTTCTCCCAAGTAACTAGTGATAGGACGAGAGGAAATGGCCTCCAGTTGTGCCAGGGGAGGTTTAGATTGGACATGAGGAAAAATTTCTTTACTGGAAGAGTGGTGAAACATTGGAACAGGCTGCCCAGGGAAGTGGGTGAGTCACCATTCCTGGAAGTATTTAAAAGACGTGTAGATGAGGCGCTTAGGGACATGGTTTAGTGGGCCTGGTGGTGTTGGGTTGATGGTTGGACTCAATGATCTTCGAGGTCTCTTCCAACCTTAATGATTCTATGATATTTTTAATGCATAAAAGACACATTTTCAGTAGTTGTTCACAGTAAAGTTGGCCTTGAACCACCAAGTTGAAGAGTTTGAATCTGGTGGTCTGGCTTTTGGCCCCTCTGTTGCAGAAATATTAAGCTAGCTTTTCAGCTCTGCAAGGTAGGTAACACTTGATGTTTTGACTCCTCGTATTAATCTATATATGTGTGTATCTTCTTTTTCATGGGAAACCAGCCAAAACAAGCCACAGTTCCCTCTTGGAGTTGCAGTTTACTGATGTCCTAAAAGCCTTGTCTAGTGCATCAAGAGTAGTATTCATTTGATAAAGCAATTGGGCAGTCTGGATTCAGAACCAACAGAACAGGGAAACTGGTGGTATAGAGTATGTCTAGTGCAGTATGTTGAGATCACTGTTTTTAAAATATTTTGCACTGTTCTGTATTGACGAATTCTGCACTTCTAAAGACATGCACAGGGAGGGTAGTGCCTAGTTGCTGTGACTGTTATTTGAAAACGGATAGCAATCTATGTATTTGTAGACCTTTTCTGTATTTTTAAAAAATGCAAATAATGTGTAAGCATGCACACAACTTCCATGGACTTCAAATTTGGAAGAGCTTTCTCCACTGACAAGCAGCAGTTTCACTTGGAAATTGAGAAGAAATCTGATAAAATTCAGCTTAGTTTAGTGAAATGGAATATGTATTTCATAGTTATGTCCCATACTGAAAATTCCTTAATTCCAGCCCAGAGCTGTGAAACATGATACTTGATATATGAAAAAGGATAGTCAAGGTAGTAAGCTATAGAGAATGAGAACTCTGTAGCTCAATGAATCCATTCACATTGGAACCCTCAAACAAAGTTTGGTAATCATTAGTCTATGAAATGTTGGAGTGTCATAAAAAAACCCTGCTCAGTTCCCATGGTTTAAACACATCAAGACTGAAGCAGTTTGCTGATTTATTAAAGACATCATTAACTAGAAATCAGTGAACTGTATATTTAGGATCAACATCAGCAATACAACAGATAAACCAGAATACTAGATGCTTAAGAAATGTTAAGGAACACCTACAAATTTCTAAATGCAGTTCTATAACTAATTCCAAAAAAGTTAAAATCACAAACATGCACACATACACGCTCACAGTTACACACATTTCCTCTCTCACAGCTGGCGTTGGTTACAAGCACAAACAGCCTCTTCTGTGGATGTGGGTTCTCCTATTTGCACACATCTCCTAATGGACATGTGGGTGCTTTATCTTTTGTGTGTACCCGTGGAGCTCCCTACGGTCTGCTAACCCATGCGCTGGTGAGCAAGCACCCCATGAGTTCACATAGGCACCCCTGAGATATGGGTCCCCAATTGTTGCAACTGGTAACTATCAGGTAAAACATCATTACACAGAAAATGCCAGATGCTGTCAAGTGGAATTTGCTACAAAGTGTCTCTTCTAAGCATTCTCTTTAAAGTGTAGGCTAATAATTCAGTACAGAGATTTGGAATATATTTTAATTGTTGTATTCAACTGAAATGTTAAATAAAACAATGTTTGATATCGGTAGCAATAGTTGAATTGTAACAAACTTCGGAGTGGATGGTGAACTGATGTTTTTGAGCTTTTTTTTTAGAGCTATTATAGGTCGGATTGGAGGGGGATTTTCTTTTGTGGACGATTAATTCCACATCTGTTTATATTTGGGGTCCATGTACCTTCCTTTGAAGCTGGAGGCTGCTCTAGCATGTACTGAATAAGCCACTGGTTTTAGAGAATAAAGCAACTGCTTTGTTCTAACATTATACAGGAATAGGTGAGGTCCAAAATACTCAGAGCTTATCCTGACTAGGAATACATTAGAAACTAAAGATACAAAAAGTAATCTGACATTTATTTTAAAAGCAGATAAGCGTGCTCCTTTCAAGAAGAGAGTGTTATTTTATGATTCTTCTTCGCTTAAATGCGTGCTTGAAAACTGTATTAAAAATCATTGCAGCTGCCATCCTTAATCAAGAATACAAACAATGTGCCTTACGGAAATAATTTGAATTTGTGTTTTGCTACTGCTCTATACTGGCTTTTATGGAAACCACAGAAAGGGGAGTCAGAAAGATGGCTCAAGACTAGTTCCTGCTGGATAGTATCAAACAACAGCATTTAACAGCTAGCATTTTGGGTTAAGCAGAAGTATGGAATAGAAGTCCCAATTATTTTCTTATGTGTTCCTTCTGCGTTTGCAATCATCATAACCTAATGCAGGCCCGAAAGCTCTCTGAGGCAGAGTATGGCTATCCCCGCTAGTTCTATTTGTGCCGCACAGCAGTATTTGGGATTGCAGGTTAGAGGACAGAAAGTGACTGAACCTTCTTTGTACTGTTTCTTTGCATTGGAGTATCATCTAGAAACTAGAGCTCAATTGTACTAGAATGGGAAAAATAACTTCTGCAGAAAATTGCCCCTTGGCCTTGTAATTCAAGTAGCTTTGCAGCTTTGGTACACTTAGTGTGCTGAACTACACCTAGTGTTTAAATAAATAAGACTGTGGAATTTAGCCTTTTGGTCAGCTTTGAGGCACACTGGCTTATTACTGATCAGTCAGGAAGCTTCTGTGATGATTATAGGTACTATAGCTGGGCTCACTAGAGTCTTACCTTCCTTCAATTCCATAGTGCCAAACTATGGAATTTATCAGACATGAAATATCACCAAGTTGTGGTTTGTGGTTTGTTCAATACTTTTTTTTTTTTAACAATTGTAACTGTTATGTTTTTTGATCTGTCTGCTATAGGTGTGAATGCCAAAGATGTGGGAAAATTTAGGTATGCCTAGAGTGTGAAAACTTTAGACATCATGTTTCACACCCGATACTACCTTGCTTACTTCCTCTTTTGAAAGCATCTGCTTTATTCCTTTTTTATGGAACCATTGGTCGTGATTCGGTGTTTCAGTGATTTGGTGGAGTTGGATTTTGTGCTTATCCTCTACAATCCTCTAAGGAAGAGGCACACCATTTGTGGAACTAAAGGTGTGCTTTTTGAAAAGGCTCCTTTTTGTGTTTCTGTGGTCTGGGATCTGTGAACTTAGCAGGTTCTTGAGTTTACAG